AAAGCAAATAAAAAATAAGAACCTTGAGAATCTTACCTCTGAACTATATATCTATTTTAGTTTTGAGACAAGATCTCGCTAAGTTGCCAAGGCTGGTCCTGAACTGGCAATCCTCCTTCCTTGGTCTCTTAAACTGCTGGGATTACAAGTGTGCACCACAATACCAGGCACAAATTAACCTTTTTGAGAATTTTATCATCAAAGATAATGAAACCTCTTGTAAAAACATGCAAGGGCTTTACGACATGTCATATGTGAGTAAACTATGCACAATGTCTGATACAAGAAGGTATTTAAAAAATATTTTTTAAACCAATGGAAATGGTTTTCTTAAAATGTTTTCAAAAACATTCTTATAGCCAGGCATGGTGGCACCCACCTGAAATCCCAGTGGCTTGGCAGGCTAAGCTAGGAGGATCACAAGTTTGAAGCCAGCCTCAGCAACTCAGTGAGACCCTAAGCAACTTATGGAGACCCTGTCTCAAAAGAAAATAAAAGGATTGGGCACGTGGCTCAGTAGTTAAGCACCCCTGGCTTCAACCCCTAGCCCAAAAATATACAAAATTAAAACAATTTTATGGCCAGGCATGGTGGCACACACGTGTAATCCCAGCCACTTGGGAAACTGAGGCAGGACAACTGCAAATTCAGAGCCAGCCTCAACAACTGAGCAAGACCTTGTCTCAGGATAAAAAAATTAAAGCACTAGGGGCTGGGGCTGTAGCTCAGTGGCAGACTGCTTGCCTTCCACATGGGAGGCACTGGGTTCAATCCTGAGCACTGCATAAAAAAAAATACACAAATACAATAAAGGTATACTGTCCATCTACAACCACAAAAAAAAAAAAGGAAATAAAATAAATAAATAAAGCCTGGGAATATAGTTCAGTGGTAAAACAATTCCAGTACTACAAAAACAAAAAACAAAACTATAATTTGGTAACCACAAAGCAAAGCCTATAATACCTAAAAAATAAAAAGGCAACAAATCAAAACATACTGCTAGAGAAAGTCTCTTAACCACACAGAGGGGAAAAGAAAAGATCTAGCCAGGTGCAATAGCACACACCTGTAATCCAATTCTAGCTCAGGAAGCTGAGACAGGAGGTCCTGAGTTCAAAACCCAGCTTCAGCACTCAGTGAGGCCCTGAGCAACTTAGCAAGATCCTATAGATCTCAAAAAAAACCAAACAGGGGTTGGAGGTGGGAGTGGGAAGGGAGGTGCAGGGCTGAGATATGGCTCAGTGGTTAAGTGTCTCTGGTACAAAAAAAAGAGAGAGAACGAGAGAGAGAGAGGGAGGATCTGAAACAAGCTTTCATTTGACAATTACGTGCTTAAAATGTAATTCAACCTATAAAAATTTCTATCAATATACTTGTAAGCAATGAATAATACATTTACTAGCAAAATCGAAATAAAACATCTTAGGAGACTGAAGCAAAATAGCTTGAAGTCAAGAGTTGAAAGCGAGTCTGAGCAACATACAGAGACCCACCCATAAAATAATAATAGTAAGATCTGTAGAGATGGAAATTATAGACACACACGTGTACATGATACATACACACACACACAATCAGCATTCCTATTATTGGGATTGAAGCTGGTTTCAAACTTGCAATACTCCTGCTGTAGCCTCTTTGGTAGCTGAGATTACAGGTATGTACCACTGTGCTCAGCTATAGTTATATTTTTAAAACAATAAAGGTCTTACCCCTCCCATATCAAAATTATCTTCCTTTTTTTTAGTGGTGCTGGGGATGGAACCCAGGACCTTGTGCATGCAAAGCAGGCACTCTACCAACTGAGCTATATCCCCAGCCCAGGATGACTTAATTTTTAATTAGGGTTATAATATCAAATTAGGGTTATAATATCAGTCTTGAATAATCACATGTTCTCTTAAATCAGAAAGATTCTTGTACTTACCAGTGATGTCTGATCCTCAAATGGTCTTGTAATATTTTTCCTAAGAATATTAAAAAAGTAACCCCAAATTTAATAATCTTGATAAGTAAATTCAATTAATATATAAAAGATAATTTTTATTAAGATGATTCAGAAAACAGAAATCTGGGCATGGTGGCACACCAGCAATCAGGAGGCTGAGGCAGGAGGACCACAAATTCAAAGCCAGCCTCAGAAACTTTGCAAGGCCTTAAATAACTTAGTGAGACCCTATCTCAAAATAAAAAATAAAAAGGGCTGAGGAGGTGGCTCAGTGGTTAAGTGCCCTTGGGTTCAAACTCTAATACCAAAAATAAATAAATAATAAAAAACAGATATCCATTCAAATATTTATTTAGTGTCTATTATATGACAGGCAGTGTTCCAGGATTTAGGGATGCTATAATACTACATCAAATAAAGTACTTTCTTTCATGGAGCTATTCTAGTAGAAAAATAAATACATTCAAAAAGTAATAATTATTATAACAAAGATGAAATTTGATATTGTGTTACCATAAAGAGTATAACATGACAATTTCAGCTGAGACCTGTGAGTTAGTCATAGAACTTTTAAGGCTAACATTATTCTAAGAGGGGAATGGCAGTGTCCCATACTTGTAATCCCAGTAACTCAAGAGGCTGAGACAGGAGGACTGAAAGTCCAAGGCCAGGCGCAGCAATTTAAGAAAGGCCCTCAGCAACTTAGCAAAATCCTGTCTCAAAATAAAAAACATGGGGAAAAAAAAAAAAAGGCCTGGGGAGGCAGCTCAGGGCCCCAGTAATGAAAAAAAGAAAGAAAATTATTCCCTAAACAGTATATCATAACAACCATGTACGTGGTATTTACATTGTTTTAGGTATCATAAATAACTTAGAGATCATTTAAAGTTTATGGGAGGATGTATGTAGGTTCCAAGCAAAATCCACACCATAAAATATACATAAGGGATCTGAATATCCACAGACTTCAATATCCAAAAGGAGTCCCCAACAAACAATGACAGATAACCCTATTTGCACAGTCTTTACTTAGTCTTAAAGTATGTCTTCCAAATATTTACTAACTACAAAGGGAGTTATAGTGGAGAAACCCAGCAGACACCACTTTAACCTACTAATACCTCTCAATCCTGAGGTACTTTACCACTGAGCAGCATCCCCAATCCTTTTTATTTTGAGACAGGATCTTGCTGCTAAGTCATTTAATCACTTAGAGCCTTGCTAAATTGCTGGGGCTGGCCTCAAACTTGTATCCTCCTGCCTCAGCTTCACAAATCACTGGGATTACAGGCATGGGCCACCATGCTCAGCTGGAACAACATGGTCTTTTTACATACACACACACACACACACACACACACACACACACACACAATTTCCCTTCTAAATCTTTTATAAAGTGGTTGTTACTTTTATAATAAAACAAAATAATTTAAAATAAAATTTTTTAAAATCATGACTTACTTTTTATATAGAACGCCATATGGTTTTTTCAGTGCATACTGTAAAACATAATTATTAGCTTTTAAAACAAAACATTCTGAAAAGCAGAAATCACAATAAAGCATTACATACATTCTACGAGACTGCTCTAGTCACTGAATCCTATTCTGATGTCTTTTGTTTGGCTCCCTTTTGATCACATACAATAATTTGTAACATAAGCTTAATATTCTTAGACTAGATTTTCCTATTTCAAAGTATCCATGCCCTTTCAATAGTCTATCCATGTTAAAATAATTCCCTTCATTTCTTTAAACTCTTCCTAGCCCATTCTCTCTAAGCAAATAACCTAGATTAGAAAGAAGAGCAAAAGATAACAGAAAACTAAATCCTATCTGAAAGCACTTACAATCGAAATGACTTTGGAGATACAAGAACTCAGCAAAAGTCATCACAATGATGACAATTAGAATACTAGCCAGAGTTTATTTCATTTATTTTGCAGTGCTCAGAATTAAACTTTGGCACTTATGCACACTAGGCAAGTGCTCTACCAGTAGGCTACATCATTGGCCCTACACTGGGTTTAAACAGCCCTTAAAAAAATTGCTGCTGCCAAGTGCTGTGATACACACCTGTAATCCCAACAACTCAGGAGACTGAGACATAAGGATTACAAGTTCGAAGCCAGCCGAAGCAACTCAGTGAAACCCTGTTTTAAAATAAAAAATAAAAAAGGCCTGGGGATGTTGCTCAGTGGTTAAGCACCCCTGGGTTCAATCCCCAGTACCAAAAACCAAAATAAAACAAAACAAAAAATTGCTGTTACCCAACCCTCTTCTTTGTTTTCCCACTTCTTTCCACTGATTCATTAATAATCACTTATTATCTGTATGACCACCAGTACTGCTCTACCAAAAAGAATAGCAAATATGTAAAGCATTGCCTTGTATCAGAAAAAGGAGTCAGTGAGAGAAAACAATGAAAAATAAAAGGAAATGATCATTCATCAACTATAAGAGCTAGTAAATAGAGAAACTCTTGTGGGTTGGGATATAGCTCAGTGGTAGGGCACTTGCCTGGCATGAAAAAACTCACCAGTAAAATATACCTTCTGAAATACCAAAACTCTGGAAGATTCTTCTTATCCAATGTTTTCCTGTCTCAGAGTAATGAACATTACTACCTTTTTTTGACAACACAGTCATTGTTATGAATGTTAACTACTGTAATAATGTGTGATGCAGATTATAGCTATTAGAGCTTGTTTAAATATGTAGGGATCATTCGGTTGACAGAATAGTGTCTTAACAAAACAATGAAATTTAGAACCATTTCAAAAAAGGATGAGTACAAATTAGGTATTTAGATATCTGAATTGACTATATTTAATAAGCATAAAGAATTTAGTCAATTTCAAAAACATGTTCAACTATTTTACTTGATTTAACTCAAAGAATCTATCAGCTATACTCAAGATTCGATACTCAACTATCTACAAGTATCTCCACACATTATGCCCCATTCATTGATTAAATACTCACTGAGCACCCAATATGCCTAGACTCTGGATTAGGCACCAGGTATAGAAGTAGGAAAAAGTTTTATATCTTCACTATGTAAATTAGGTCCCAAACTCAGACCTAACTTAAATAGTGAACCTGCCCCACCTTTTACAGTCTCTAATCGCCATTACTGCCCAGCAGGCCCACAGGCCAAAAAGCTCGGAAGTTGTACTTCTCACTAATGCCCAAACTATTCTGCCCTCAACATCTATTCTCTGATCAATCCTCATTTTCATTTTACCATCACCAGACTCCAGGTTCTCTTTACCAGGCTAACAGCAACGATGTGGTTGCCCACATTTGCTCTCTGGCCTTTCTAATCAAGTCAAGAAAATGAACTGATCAACTCTTTCACTTAAAATCTGCCAATGACTCCACAGGACTTTTGGAATAAAATTCAAATGAAATTTAACATGTGACTTCTGACTCTTCTGGCTTCACATAGTACATATCCTTTAGCCAGTCCAATTATTTGCAGTGCTCCAAATGCTCCTTCACATGCACTTTTGCCCAAGATTCTTCCTCAGCTTGAAAGCCCTTCTCTTTCTATCCTCTTGCTCCAAATGCTCCTTCAAAATGAAGCTTTCATGTTATTTCTAGGAAGCCCATTTTTTGGGGGGTCCCCCTAAGTGATGTGAACTATCTCCCATTCTACCCTCTGCATACCTCCAGCACAGCATTTAATTCTTAATACTTTAAGCTCACTAAAAGGAGATGCTATGTTTTTCTATTATTCCCAGTACTCAGGACAGTAAATGGCATTGTTAAATGAATAAATACATAGTGATATTCAGTTACTTCACTTTGCAAATTAAATGTGTTCCTAAAAGGGCTGGAGATGTAGCTCAGTGATAGAGTGCTCTTTGTCTACCATGTATAAGATCCCAGGTTCCATTTCTAAGGCAGTGGGGTGGAGAAGAAAAAAAAAAAAAAAGTAGAGCTGAGATACATTCCTAAAATGTATCAAATTCTGTAATTAAAACTAGTTTAATTTACTAAGGGAACTACCTGCTTTAAGGAAAACCAGTAGTCAGCGAGGTGGGAAGAAAAATAACCTCTAATTTCAGATCTTCTCGAAGGCTAGTAGATCTTTTTATTTTATTTATTTAAATGTTTATTTATTTGTTTGTTTTTAGTTGAAGGTGGACAAGAGACCTTTATTTTACTTTTTTGTTTAATGTGGTGTTGAGGATCGAACCCAGTGCCTCACACATGCTAGGCAAGTGCTCTACCTCTGAACCACATCCCCAGCCCAATGCTAGTATATCTTTTTTTTTTTTTTTTTAAGAGAGAGTGAGAGAGAGAGAGAATTTTTTTAATATTTAGTCTTTAGTTTTCGGCGGGCACAACATCTTTGTTTGTATGTGGTGCTGAGGATCCAACCGGGGCCGCACGCATGCCAGGCGAGCGTGCTACCACTTGAGCCACATCCCCAGCCCAAGGCTAGTAAATCTTAAGGTAACCTTACCATTTCTCCAGCAGCCCAAACCAGTATGCTGAAAGCTTCTAAAATGACTTCAGTAGTACTTAAACATTGAGTATATATACATACCATATCTTTAAGTACTTGTGTCACTATTGCATTTGCATTTCCCCCTTTAATCAGCATGGCATTTTTAATATTTTCACTGAGCTTTGGTTCTCTCTTCTCAAGGAATCTCTTGGCCCTTTTTGTTTTGGGTTTTCTGTTAAGAAAAGCACAATTCATAACAATGCAAACATTTTCCTCACATTGCAAAATCAAGACTTTAACAAGGAGAAAATTCTAAAAAATCAAGGAGACATTACATTCACATATTTATCAGTTAGGATTCCAACATTAATATCTCACATTTTATTAGAAAAAGACACTCTATCACTATTAAACAAGCGTTTTGTTAGCTTTTGGTTTTCTTAAAAAAAAAACTTTCATTTTAATATTCCTAATATTCTTCTTTTTTTTTTATTGCAGTGCTGGGGATTAAACCCAGGGCCTTGTACATGAAAAGCAAGCACTCTACCAACTGAGCTATATCCCCAAGTTGCAGCATTCCTTTATTATTGTTGTTTTCTAAATCTTTATTTTTTTTAATTGTAGAAGGACACACAATATCTTTGTTTATTAATTTATTTTTTTATTGGTGCTGAGGATTGAATCAGTGTCTCACACATTGCTAGGCAAGCACTCTGCCACTGAGCTACAGCCTCAGCCCACTCTTTTTATTTTTATTTTATTATTTTTGGCACTGGGAATTGAACCCAGGGGCACTTAACCACTGAGTAATATCCCCAGCCCTTTTTATTTTGAGTAGGGTCTTGCTAAGTTGCTTAGGACCTAAGTTGCTAAAGCTACCTTTGAATTTGCGATCCTCCTGCCTCAGCTTCCTGAGCTGCTGGGATTACAGGTGTGTGCCACTAGGCCCAGCTTCCTTTTTTCTTTTTAATTAAAAAAATAAAGAACCAGACAGGTGTGATGATGTACACCTATAATCATAGGCAGGAGGATTGCTATTTGAGGCCAGCCTGGACAACACAGAAATATCTCAACTCAATTAAAAATAAATAAGCATAGCAGAATACAACAGTTACTAATATGGCATTATGTAAAAATGTGGATATGTAACCGATGTGATTCTGCAATCTGTATTTGGGGTAAAAATGGGAATTCATAACCCACTTGAATCTAATGTATGAAATATGATATGTCAAGAGCTTTGTAATGTTTTGAACAACCAATAAAAAAATAAATAAAAATAAAAATAAAAAGTAATTGAATCTTTAATAAATAAATAAATAAATAAATAAGCAAATAAAGGGCTCAAGTAGACATTATTTTTACTTCCCCCATCCCAAATTTAAAGTAGACAAACTGTACCCTGCACACTAACACAAAGAATTGTATATCAACTGCTGATCAACCTGTGGATATTTATTAAATATAGGATATTTACTAAATATAGACATTATTTACTAATATAGGTATTGCTTATCTTTTCTTCCAGATTTAAGACCAAGTACCTACCAGGAAGTATATATTATCTCACTCCAACATCACTGCTGAGAAAGTCTATTAACTACCAAAGAGTGATCTTGGATATTAAGACTTAATTTTGGGCTGGGGATGTGGCTCAAGCAGTAGTGAGCTCGCCTGGCATGCGTGCAGCCCAGGTTCGATCCTCAGCACCACATACAAACAAAAATGTTGTGTCCGCCAAAAGCTAAAAAAAATAAATATTAAAATTCTCTCTCTCTCTCAAAAAAAAAAACTTAATTTTCACTACAACCCTAAGAGACAGTACACTTATGATCTTCACTTTATAGATAAAGCAAAGACTTGATAAGTAATCTTCCTAAGGTCATGCAGCTAGTAATAAGGCTCAACTTCACAATGAGCTAGATTTAAAAACTCATCTAAGACAATTACCTAAGAAACAAATAAGGGAAAATAAATTATTATTCTGACTTTATGGTATGAAAATAGAACTACATGTTTTGTTTTGTGGGTTTTTTTTATTTGTTTTGTGGGTTTTTTTATTTGTTTGTTTGTTTTTTGTGGTATGAAGGACTAAACCTAGAGCTTAGTTCATGCCAGGTACTTTACAACTAAACAATAATCCCAGCCTAGCAGTACCATGTTTTTATACATTTCTTTTCAAAAAAAGTGTCACCTTTGCCTCCTCTAATGGTGAACATTATAGGCAAGCATCTTGCTTTTCAAACAGTTCTAAGCCATCTATTGAAAGAATTCATCCTCTCTTAAGTAACCATGACCCTTCTTCTTCTGGTCCTATGAATACTTCAGGAAGGAAAAGAAACACAGAATATACACAACTTTAAATTCCCATGTAGAACTAATAAGGCTAAATCAGGAGGATCGCTAAAGCCCAGGAATTAGAGACCAACCTGGGCAACATAGTGAGACCGGGCTTACAAACAAAAAGTTCAATACAAGATTAGAAAAGGGGGCTGGGGATGTGGCTCAAGCAGTATCGCTCTCGCCTGGCTGGGGTTCGATCCTCCAGCACCACATACAAACAAAGATGTTGTGTCCGCCAATAACTAATAAATAAATAAATTTTAAAAAAAAGATTAGAAAAGGTTTGCTTTTTGTTGTTGTTGTTTAAAGCTATGTGAAGGCTTATTCTTTCATATATTACTCTTCATCT